TTCCTAATTAGTGTATCCCCACACACTTCTGTGAAATTTTGGAACATAATTATTTTCACCCTATTCCAAGCAGATTTCACATCATTTTCCTAGAGGAAAACACAAATACAAATACCTGAAAATGGAGTACATATGTACTATATATATTGTCATTGCTTTAAAGAATACAAATCACTGCTGCCCAAACCTGGTAGAGCTAGAGGGTTAGTATGAATAACATGAATCCCAAAATTCAGAAAACTGACAATAGTAAATAGGACTCAAGTGTAGGCACCGAGAGTCAATATGTGTCAGCCCTTTGAGGTAGACCAGACTAGGAAACAAAAGTTATGAATGCTAATACTACTTTTATTATAAGGTTGCAATAACAGAATCTTGCAAGTCTGAATATGCTTCCCCCCTCCCTCCTTTATCTTTATGAGGACTAGGGAGGGTCAAATCTAAGATGCTTTCTCAAATTACATTTCTGGCATGGACTCAAATTTCTTTCAGCTGGCAGTAGAGAGTTTCTGTATTGCTTTGTTGTCATCTTGTGGCTCTCTTGGGCAGGGTGCACTAAGGCTGTCTGCCATGTTCACCTACAGCCCACTTCTACCTGCTGCTATGCTCCCATCTACCATGCCACCTTAGGCAAATGCCTAGGTTCCTCTATGAGCACATGCTGGCCTTGGAGTAGACCACGGCCAGGTTTGTTTTGTTAAAGACCAAAGACCCAGACAGAGGCCTTGACTGTAATTACATTCCTGAAGGCAGCCTTCATTTAGAGCAGTGTTTCTCAACCTTGGCATCTTGAAGCTGTGTGGACTTCAACTCCCAGAATTCCCTTGCCAGCAAAGCTGGCTGGGGAATTCTGGGAGTTGAAGTCCACACATCTTCAAGTTGCCAAGGCTGAGAAACACTGATTTAGAATGTGGTTAATTCCACCCATTTCAAGAAGCTGGCTGGCTGTAAAAGGGTTTCACCTGACTTTACAGTCTAAGACTTCCGTGGCTAGAAGTATGGAGATTCTGTTGGGGATTAATCCCAAAATGATGAGGGCAAGGGCACATTTTCAGCAAGGTGTCCCTGGATAAGGAATTAATAATTCCTTGAGGAAATAATCTGAGCCTAACCCTCAAGTGAGTATTTTGCTGTACCCTGAAAAGTCTGAGAGTTGGGAGTCACAAGTGCTTTGAGACAGCAGCAAAATAGGATAATATAACTGATTAAAAGTTTGGCACGTGGCAACAATAATAAAACAGCCTTTCATCTTAGCACAAAGAAGAGCAGCTGGTATGTGTCTGATGCTAATCAGTGAGTAATATTGGAGTTAGTTCAGTTTCCTACCAGGGTCTTGCATGGTTTCTAAAGACATCATTGCTGAAGATCTTAAACATTTGGGTGAAAAGGCAGTATCAGTCAAATATTATGTTTAACATTCAGGTATGAAAAAATCACTCCAGCTTTATTTAATTCTACTTAGATATTTCAAAATATTCTCCTTTCAGAGAAATAAAAATCGATGGACACGTGACAGAGGTTGCAAATAGAAACTGTAAATGAAGGACATATCTCTGTCACTTTTGCCTTGGAAAAGCATCTGGCATTAATGATAGATTTGCTAAAGCTACAAATCAGGTCTCCAGCCTTGGAACATGACCTAGAATCTAGAAATTCTATCCGGATTCTTTGCAAGCAAGAGCCTCAAATATGCATTTCAGTTATACTAGCTAGCCAGTTTTATATTTATGTACCTCTTTCTGCCACGTTTACAGTCTCCAAATGAAACTGATAGGCAGCACAAAAATGATAAGGATTTACCTCTTTATATCTGTTTTTCCCATTATGTGAAAAAAGAAATGAACTTTCCACCACCAACTAATATACTGAATGTCTGAGGACTGTACAGCAAATCCTGTCAAATTTATGCTGCCAATAGTATGGATGTGAGAAGAGGAGGCACGATGCAGCAAAAGACCAATATTGCTAAGTCCCATTATAAACTATATAACAGGGCTTCATTCCTGATGTTGTGATCATCCCATTTTTGCAATAAATGAAAGCTTACATTGTGGGGGGGAAAAATCTAGTTTAAAAGGTAAGTCATAAATCTTTTGGGAGAGGAAATTAGGCTTCGTGTAAATGGAGTTACTTTTGATTTATCTCAGAATGTTGCTTGGTAATTTATTTAACCTTTTAAAAATTTATAAAAGTAACTAAATGTGTTTCAGCTCCATGAGTTTTGGAATGAAAAATCATTATTCTAGTGAATTAGAATGTCTTATTTTTTTGAACCCATGGTGGGTTGATTTAAAAAACAGTGAAGTCAGCTTTTGTTGTATCAAATTAAGTAATACAATATGAACTTTAGGGGAAAAAAATGTTTTGGGTATCCGAAGTAATGTTTATTCAGAGCCAGTTATGGATCTTTTGTAGCTGAAACTGTACAGTAATTTGGAATAGGACCCATGCGTATCATTTGAATTTATGCAACTTTTCTTCCTTTTCATTTTAAATTCACATGATTGTCAGTATGGTGCTATAGTGATTGCTCCTAATATTAAATATGCACATACTGTCTAACTCTAAGGGCAATTCTGTGCTGCAGCCTGAGCTGCTTGTCTCCCAGGCGGTTCCTGGCTGCTTCTTAAACCAACTTCAGAAATTCCAGTCTGGATTACAACAGGCTGGCAATGGGCCCAGGGTGGGGCTCAGCCTTGACTATGACCACTGGTAGCAATTCCCATCCATGCAGAGCATGTGGGCCAGCTCGCCAGTGCCTACCTTCTCTTCTGGGGATTCTTCCCTTCTCACCGGTCCCTGTACCTCTCCTTTTCTTTCCCAGATATTTGCAAATATGGATCCCTTCACCCTCTCCCTTTTAACATTATTTTCTTTGAAATATAGGCTCTTTCTTTCTTTCTTTCCTCCCCTCCCCTCCATCATTGCTATGATGTTACAATAATCAAAGGGAACAAGCTGTTCTTTCTACACTCCTCTGTAGGACCATAAAAACTTTGTAACAAGGAAAAACTGAGAGTTGAAGAATACAGGAGGAAAATAAAGATGTAGGTTTAATTATGAATGAATGGGCTAAAAGGTACGTCAATAAGTATGTATTGTGTCGTCTGGGTTGCTGTGGGCAGATACGAAAGTAGAAATGTATAGGTCAATGATAGTTGCATGTTACATTTCAGTGAATGGTGATAATGAAAGAACCATGAATGAGTTTTGGAATAAACTGTGCAATATTCTGAATGAATGAGATCCAGGGTAAACAATTATTTTGTTAGGTAGCACTAACTGATGGCAGGAATAAGACAAGAATGGACAGAATTTTGCATTTTGGAGACCCAAGAATGAATGAAAATGGTGATCATAAGATGAGCATTTGCTTAGAAAAAAAAAATGTTTTAGACCCATGCCTTATTTATCAGCCTATTCATACTTAACACATAAAAAGGAATGAATCGAGAAGCATGATTGGTATAATTGTTTATGATGAAAGATTAAGAGTATTAATGAAGGATACCGGAGTGATCAGAGGTTCCAGAAGTGGATCTTGGGAAATATAGACATGGAAAAGAAGGAAAGAAGTAAAAGAAACTAGAATGAAAGTAGACTGAGTGCAGGAAGAGAAACAATGAATTATGTATGAAAAATTACGAGAAGACAAGTTATTTCTCCAAAAGAATAAATAGAAAATGTACAAAAGAAAGAAGCTGCCTTTATCTCATGTCCTTAATTTCTTTTGCTTACTATTTCTTACTGTTTTTCTATGCTTTGCACCATGTTGCTTTCTCTGAAAGGAAGTAGTGGGATACATGTACATCCTTTTTTTTAAAAAAATCATACATTATATATTACTATATTAGATATTGAATATGTAGCTTTGGTTTGGTTAATTTAGTGCCCATTATTAGTTAGCACTTGTAATTTATCGAAACTCTGACCTGCTGGATTTTCTATTTTATTTTATGCAGATTTTAAAAAGCAAGGATAACAAGCAATGGAATAAAATAAAAGTAACTACCATACATCACCATAAGGAAACAAATTTTCAACCCTCAGTTCAAGTAATAACATTGACAGTGGTAATAAACTACTATCTAACACAGTGTTTCTCAACCTTGGCAACTTGAAGATGTGTGGACTTCAACTCCCAGAATTCCCCAGCCAGCATGGGCTGGTTGGGGAATTCTGGGAG